ACAAATATTACCCGTTATCAGAAAAGAGATTGAGGGTACCTGATTGTAGTTAAATACTAGAATGGCAATCCGCACATTTCGCATTGACATACTTTACGCTTTTAATTGCAGCGCAAAGGAATTCGGTAGTTCGCCGGGATTCGCTGCCAGGATGTTTTCTTGCCCGCTGTTGAAGATCGGTGGTGTGCGTGGAAGGTGCCGATATTTAAACTTTCATTTATTGTTCTTTAGCCCGCCTTAATAGCAACGACAAGTGTGACAAATGACATCATCAGCATAAAATGTCTTAATTAAGTAAAGAAATTAGACTCGATTCCTGTGCTAGCAATTATTTTCCGATATTATTAAAGAATTAGATGTGTCATTATTAATGCAGGTGTGTTTTTCCAATGACCAAATTATTTTCTTTATTAATGGGCCCTGTCACAACTAATTGTTGAGGATCAGACAACCAGCTTCTTCCTTTTCTACCCTCTCTGGCTTTATTTTTAAACTAAACTAATAAACGTAGTGGATCAGGAAATGAGCTGCTTACATTATTTAATTACCATCATAGAAGTGCTAAAAGGTCAGGAGCCATTCATTTTTGGAGCAACTCTATCTCTTTGAATCTATTAAAAGCTCCCAGTGTCTAGTGTCTAGTAAGTAGTAAACAGGTGTGAGGCTCTGTCTCTAAGAAACTTGTTCTGGTTCAGGTTTATTTTATTTTGGTTTATTTTCTCCTGTAATAAAAGCAATGTTGTCTAAATGCAAATGTTCTACTTTCCAGAAAACTCTCATTGTGTTTCTTTAACAAACAGTTTGGTGAAGGTGAAGTGGCCCAGCAATCCACTGTTAGCAGCTAGAAAGGCTAAGTCATAATCATCAGTTCTAATAATATAATTGCCCAGGAACAAGATGGACAAAGTGGTTTAAATGCTGTCTGTCAAGATGACAGAGAAAGTGGTGGCAGACAAATATATTTCACTAAGAATACTCCTATGATTAAGTGCAGTACAGTATGTTACAGTATGTGTGGCGCTGCAAGATGGTGCAGTGATTAGCATTGTGGCCCTGGGTTCAATTCTGGACCTGGAGTGCTATCTGTGTAGAGTCTGTATGTTCTTCCTGTGTTCACACATGGGATTTCGCCAGGTGCTCCGTTTAATGTGATTCTGGAAACATTGGCCCTGTTGTGAATCTGTGTGTCTGTGTGTGCCCTGTGATGGACTGGTGTCTCAATAGGGTGTAGCCCGCCTTGCATCTGTTAGCCTGCTGGGATAGCATCCATTTCACCTGCGACCCTCTATTGGATTAGAAAATAGACGGTCGGATTCTGTGAGGGATCACTCAAAATCCAGAAGACGTTTGAAAGAGCTGATGAAAGATTTATTAATCAAAGAAATTACTGGACAGGGTGCACACACACAGGGACCATCTGGACCAAGAAAGGAGGACAGCGGATACCAAGAAAAAATCCACTCGAGCCCAAGGATGAGTGGGCAAACTCCGCACAGAAGGTGTACTGGTCTGGCAGCCAGGATCAAAAAGCTGTGAAGCAGCAGCACTGACCACTATGCCACTGTACCACTGTGCCACATCCCTGTTAAAGATTACAGACATTCCTGAAGCACGGTGAAAGAATAAAGCAGCTGTTGTAAGGGCGTCAGGGAAAGCTTTAAACCTCACTTATGTTAAGACATTGTTCTGAGCTACAAAAACAGAAGACGCAGTGGGAAATTTGGAAATCAACCTTTTTGAAGCCAGACTCAGCTATGAGGCTTGTGTAACCAGGAATATACAGTAGGTACATGTAATTGTCACAGGAAAATGTCAAAGGATGCATCCATAGTTCCTCAATACAAGCGATACTCAGTACAGTTTGGCGTACATGACTCATAGATGTTTTTATGTCAATGTATGCTTTGTATGCAATGTCAGATGCTACAAGCAGACTGCTGCCACAAGATAAGAGAGAACGGGTGCTCAAATAGAATAGAAGCAAGAGTTTGAGGGCAGTGAGTGCAGCATGGCGGAAGTACAAAACGATGGATTTATTCCCAGAATATAACATTAGTAGCAGATCAGTGGTAGAATTACACCCAATAATGAAATTAAAAAACCTGGGCCGCCTGCCGGGTGGACCCATGTCAGAACAGAAATGCGCAGGAGGCGGGCCAGCTGAATGTTGTGGTCTGTAGAAGGAGTGAATGGACACCAGTGGATCAATGGCAGTTGCTTTCTGGAAGCAGGGTTAGCGGAGCTGGTTTATGGACAATACACAGGCAAAAACACAGGACAGGAAAAAAAGACACAAGCAGTAGATAAAAGGAAGGATGTGAGTTGGAGGGGAGAATGCCTGGTGCCTGGACTGTTTGCCAGATTCGTTTCGATACAGGTGCCCATGTGGAACTACACAGCCTCACGGACTGATGGCCAAGAGAAGAGGGAGCTGGAGCTTATACAGGGCATGAGGACGCGTTGCAGGGGATGGCACTTTGTCAGCTAAGATGCTGGCAGAAACAGACAGAAAGATACGAACAGAAAACATCTGGCAAAGGCCAGCAATCTTTGAGCTGGCAGGTTTATGGACATCGGTCACAGCCTTGGTAGTGGAATGCTGGGAGGGAAGGATCAAAGCACCTTTTTTTACAAAATATAAAGAAATTAGGACACCACCATGAAGTCTGTGTGGTCTCACTTCTGAGATTTCAAATTAGATATACTGTATATTCAAAGAATCAGTAAATTAATTGATTATAATAGTGTTGATCAGAAGCAAAGGAAACACCGACCTGCATCCAAAGTGACCAAGAATCATTGAAGAAGAAAATGCTAAAATGTTGGATAGGTCTTTACCCAGCAGTGAGTCAATAAAGGCAGAAGAGTTTACTGATGATGAGAAATGTATGTGTACCCTATAGTGGCATACTGTCTGTATCCATCCATCTAACCCCTTTGAACAGTACAGGGTCGTAGGGGAGCCAGAGCCTATCCCAGCAAGCGATGGGCACAAATCAGGATATACTCTGGAGAGGATGCCAAACCATCACATGGTGCACACAGACACGGACACGCACACACTCACAACAAGCCAACAAGCCTAGAAGCCAATAAACCTATCAGTATGTCTTTAGACTGTGGGAGAAAATCCAAACTGTGACAAATGGAGAACATGCAAACTCCACACAGATAGCACAGCACATCCGGAATTGAACCCAGGGGCCAAGGGCCGTGAGGCAGCAATGCTAACCACCTTCGCCACCTTCTTGGGATATTAAATATATATTTATACAGTAGATCATTCGTATAATTTGTTTGGGCATTTATGTGCTTTACTATAAGACTCTACTCTTCTGAAAATGTACCTCTCAATGAAAAATGTCCAGTCATCAAAATTCCAACATGCTGTGAGGCAACATACTGTAAGATATTTTAGTACAATAAAAAAAAGAAGGCTGACTGCTGGAGTCAAAAGTCAATTGTCAAAAAAAAAAGTATTCGAGAGGTTCCAAACCACTGATTTGGGATTGATGAAAACGATTTAGAGTGGAGTTTGGTTTCAGTTGTTCTGTTCCAAATCCTGTCATCTGTCTGTGTAGCTCTGGAATGCCAGTCCATTTCCCTGGCCATGGTGATGTCATTTTCTTCAGATATCACACACTCATAAGCCCTGTTCTGAGAGTGCTGCTGTGAAGCTGTGTGTGGTAGACAACTCAAAATTAAAACTAGAAGCCCTTCATTTAATCAGATTAGACAAGGCTTTTTTGTAACAGCAACACTCTATTGTTAATATTATTTCACATTTTAAAATTCCTTTAATTTAATAAAAGAAATAAATGATAAGTGAATTGAACACTTAAGGGAAACACTTTTAAACTCTGGATATCAGAACAAAAAAATAATTAAAGCAGGCAAAATAATCATGTTTAAAGTAATGAAGAAAGCAATTTAGATTTCATTCCTTAAAAATGATGAGCCTAAACAGACAGGGAAAACAATATTCAAGAATTTTAGATCACACAGTTATAGTGTTTTCAAAACCTACAGTATTAATAACAATAATCATTTAAAGGAAACAGACATTTAAATCTTTCAAATGCTTTCAAGAGTTCTTATTTGTTTTTGACAAAAGTCGTATTGATGGGTGTTTACAAATTCAAAATAAGTGAAGGCTGTGAAATGTGTAATATAAAACAGAGCATATGTGTCAACTATATATATTGTATTTGTGTATTTAAAAGTCAGTCATATTTTATATATGCATTCATAATCTCAAATAGATAACAACATGTGAATTCTATCACCAAGTGTGGTAATCTCTTGAAAGTTATGCACTGTATACAGTATACTGTATCCAAACACACATACAATACTTCTTGGTCCATGCTCTTGCAGATAAACATTTTCAAAGTCCCTTTCCATACATTACATCTATACATACTGTAGCTCCACAGTGCTACTTTATTCCCAAGAGCACTTTTACTTCTATGGTTTAACAAATAACAAATAATAGGGTGAAAAAAGATTAGTACTTTGTTTCTTATTATTTATCAAAGTACATTTACTTTAATTACTTCATGTATTTTAGTTTTCAAAAACGATTTTACTTTTAATTCTTTATATGATTGTAAAAGATACATAATTATGTATGTCCAATCTAAGACCTGTTTTGGGTAAAGGCTTAGCAAATGAGGCATTGGGTTGTTCTTCCTCAGAATCTTTTTGCTATCCAAATACTCCATGTTAGCAAACTGTACATTTTAACAACTTTTGACCTGAATAGTTGCTTGCGTCATTCCAAGTAGAACATAGAAAATCTAAATCTGGGGCAAAACACAGAGCAAAGTTTTATTAACATAGGAATTGTCGGGTCTCTATGCCTTTAAGGCTGTCAGTCTGTAACATGCTTCATCATTTCTGTGATGTGACCTTTAGTGGATTTTCTAGGACATTAACTTTGCTCTGTTGTTGGTAGCAACATTCAGAGCTGAAAAGTCATCTAATTCAAAAGGTGAAAAACATTTCCCTTTTACCCAGTCCAGCTGGTCTCCTCAAACTCCAGACACTTAATTAGCAGCTAATAACCCTGATCAGTGTAATAAATATTAAAATGTCTGAAGGAGAGAGGTTTAGGGCAAGGAGCAATGGAAAATGTTGAGAAATGATGTCAGAGGAACCGGGACCAGGGATTGGAGTGGAGATACCCGAGGAGAGACTATAAAAACCTCATAGTCAACACCAGGAACAAGCAAAGAGAGGGAAAACTTGAACTTGCAAAATTCCAGGAACTTTTGTGTGGTTCGTTTCAGGCTTCTGAAGAAAGGTAGGAGAGGATAATTGCATGTCAGAAACTGGTGTTTAATGTGATTTGCTGCTGTTGTTTTTTTTTCACAAAAGCTTAGGTCTGCTTTATAGTAGCAGAAGGTATGTATACTGAAACAGCCCCTGTAAATACCAAATATTTCCAAGGTAATGTGAAGAAGAAAATAAATAGTCAGGGGCACTGCCTTGAATTATCTGAATACAACATATGCCAGCAGCAGGAATATTTTTATGCAGCTGGAACCTAAAATGTATTAGTGATCAGCACCCCCTCTTTAAAGCCTATATATACTGTTACATTTAAAACTGTAACTGTTGGGGGTTATTTTTAGGACCTGTACATGCTAAAATGAGTGCATGTTGCTAGACAATGAATTTCACTTCCTACAGCTGAATTAAACCTGGCTATTTAAGTGTCAGATAAAAAAAACAATTTGGTTAAACAGGAATCTGAAGGAGAATACAAATAAGTGAGGAGTACAACATCAAATTTTCTGTAAATCAACAAGTACTTAATGTACGATAATGTTTCATTTGGAAAGTCCCATCTTATCAAGAAATTACATAATTCTTACACTCGCTGCAAATCTTATACTCATTGCAAAATCGTTTTAGAGTTAATTGGAACTGATTGTAGTTATGCAAGAAAACACATGTGAGACTATCATGAAAACAATTAGTGATGAAAACAGAAATGTTCATCTGAGGTGAGACAGGGGAACTACTGAGCAATATTTTTTAAAATTTCCAAGTAGTAAGATTCAGACTTTGAGTTCATTTAAAATATTTAAATCTTTCATAGTCGCATTTTGTTGAGAAAAATGGCATCACCCTTTAACTGAAATACAGATGAGAATTCTAGAAATGGTTTCTTAAGTTTTGGATTTTGCAATCTGGTAAACCCAAAGTGTATATGGCACATATGCTATCAATAACAACTTCAGATACAGTGCCACCATATTACTGGAGCACATGTGATAACGGGTGTTTGTTTTTATAAAGAGGCATAGGGTGAAAAGAAAATGCTGATGTACATGTTCTGACACTAAAGTGCAAAGCACACCACTAAATTTATGAGCCAAGAGGAGTATATCAATTTGCACATTATAAAAATCATAGTTTATATTGGATGGGTATGTGATTTATTGTTACTTCCACAAACACTGCTTTGTTGAAAGCAAATAGAGATATGCATCGTATTCTTCCAGGTTGTCATAAATTTGGTTTCACAGTAATTCTGGCTGAGGACGGAGCAAAAGCAGAGAAACGCAAGAACTGATGGGAGCATTCTATCATTCACTTAATTAAAGAGTCTGTACATTGCACGTTAAATACATTTGTCATTTCCGTGAGTTTGGTTTTATTAAATAAGAAGGGAAAGATATATAAAGATATATAAAGATATTTGTGAGATGATTGATTATATTATATAATAAATTGTACTGCATTTTCTATCTGTCCTGTTTTTTATAACTCATACAAGCTTATCAGAGAGCTGTTTCTTGCTAGACCTTCCACCCTGTTCCAGAGCTTGCCGTTGATACATTCAGCTGTTCAGTGATGTAACTGAGTTAATTAGTACTATTAGTAATTACACAAATAGAACTGGTTATGTAGAGATCCTGCATAGGAACAAACTGAAGGTCTAGTATGTGTCTGTCCCTGGCTTATGAGTATCATAAAAAGGACACCACATTGTCAGAATTGGAATCAAGAAAAACCTCCTATGCACAGACTTGCAAGACATTTGCCTTTTCAAAAATAAAAGCTTAGTTTGATGTCACATTTCACTAAGATGAGCTGAAAAGATCCTCTTTAAAATTTCGCTTTTCCAAAATACTCATTTTAAAAGTTACATAGTGAGACTTCTGTATCATTCTGTCATATAAATATCCCTGCCTGATAAAGGTTTTTCAGTAAATCTTTTTTGTGTCATAGCTATTCTAACAATTCTAGTTTCAAATTATATACATCCACTGTGTAATTATTTCTGTTCTGCTTCATACTGTATACTGTACAATCTCATGCTTCAGCAGCACTAAATTTTAGCTTACAATGGACTGCTGAAATATTACGTAAACTCTGCCAAACATATACATTGACAAAAAGTGATTTCAAACAATCATATTAAAAGTGCAGAAACCAAAATGAAGGCTGTATTTTGAACATTTACAGTATAAAGAAATCAACAGTGAAGAGTTAATGTGAGCTGCTTTGCTTTTTAATGTATTGATTTCCAAGTGGTTATGTAGTATGGTGACTAGTGGTCAGCATTGCCTCACAGTGCTGGGATCCTGGGTTTCATTCCAGACTTGGGGTGCCGTCTGTGTGGAGTTTGTGTGTTCTCCTGTGTGTTTGCGTGGGGTTTCCTCCAGGTTCTCCGGTTTCCTCCCACAGTCCAAAAACATACCGGTAGGTTAATTGGCTTTTGAAAAAACTGGCCCTGGTATGAGAGCATCTGTATGTTTGTCTTTGTCTGCCCAGTGAGGGACTGGTGTCCCGTCCAGGTTGTATCCTGGCTCGTATCCATTGCTACCCTGTACTGGATAAACAGGTTAGAAAATGGATGGGTGAATGGACTTCCAAATGGATTTAGCTCTCTGCTTTGTTGCAGATTGTCTTAAGAAGGTCTGCTGCCAGAACCATCCACTTAATGAGTAAATGGTCTCCTCTCTTGTTTAAAAGAATGAATAATAAGGAGTGTTTGCTCTGTTCCAGATGCTGGGCTGCAGGTGCATTTTATTACCCTGCCTCTTCGCAGTGACTCTTCTCCATTGGAGCAAAGGGATTTTACAGCTAGCAGAGGGGGCACCAGAGGTAAGAATTACTTTGGTGCCATTTGGGCATGGAATTTCACACTTCAGATTCACTGCCCATGATTTGAATGAAGGAAAACTAACTCACAATTCATTTGCCGATTAAAATGATTTTCTTAAATAAATAATACCATGTTACTGATATGGTGGAAGTTTATCATTGGTCATTATGGGTCCCCACAAAATGCCAGCATTGTAATTAACTCAGCTGAGTTCAATACAGTTTTCTTTCGCCAAGATCATCTGTATTCGTATTATTATAAAGCAATTTAATTTTTTTCATTATTTAATAATAAATGGAAGTTCAAAAGGAATACTGACAACCAAGCAACTTTTTTCCAGCTGTAATTAATCATAATTATTCCCGAAATCTTTCCTCATTAGCTATATATATAATATGCAAACTCCTCTTATTCAAATTTTGTCTAATGTATCCCTCCTTCTCCACACCTGCACCCTTGCAGTTACCACTTGGTATTCTCTTCATGGGTGTCCCAACCTTGTCTTCTTGTGGCCAAGGAGATGTCCCTGACTAGGTGGATTAAGTCGAATCTACCAAAACCAAATTACACAAGATACTGACCACATCTAATTCTTGAATGTTGTTTTGTATCTCATCAGTAAATTTTACTTTATTATTTGACTGTTTCCTTGGAAGTGCAGTAGTGTGAAGTTTGAGTTTCTTAGAGTGGAAAGTATTACATAGAAGGTATGATAATTTATAATAATATCTGGTGCAATTATGTCTAATTTCTGTGAGAATAACCCAGTTTACTTCCCTCTGACACTCTATGGCAGCAAAAGGGTGGAGAGTGCTAAATTCAAACAGAACACCTCCCACAGGATTTATTATAAGAGAGTTATATTTAGATCTAGCATGACTAATAAAATGGAGTTAACAACAGATATTCTATATATATTTCCATTATGCCAGAAATCATTTTTAGCGCCTGCAAGTTCCACTCAGTATTTGGTATTCCCTAAAAACTGCTCTCAAATCATCATTGCAGTAAAGCAGACATGTTGTGTTGCAGGAAAATATATTTGTGCATAAAGGGATGGCCATTTTATTGATGCTGTGTTATTTAAATATTTATTTCTGCCTTAAAGTCTAGGTCACACGGGAAGCACAAATAGATATTAGAGATATTGCTGAATATGACAGAAAATAGCTTTCTTTTTGTTTCCACTATGAGTTTACTGCTGAGTGCTTTTTAATTGACTTTTGCAATACATATGGCAATTATAGCAATTAAGAACTGTGAGAAATACAGTAGTTTCTTGGGTGGCCCCAGAGCACACTAAAACCTGTGGTCAGATAGTAGGCTTGACTTATTATATTGAGTTCTATTGGCAGCTGTACAAAAAAACGATCACAGCTTGACAGTGCTTGCTTTGGAGGATGTCTGTATGCAGTATCTGCTTTCCTTAGTCTGGTACAGGGGGTTCAACAGAGAATTATATCGTCTAATGACTTGCTTTTTCAAATTAAGGGGGATAAAAGGGGAAAGAGAACAGGTGCTACCAAGTTTTGTTGTTCTGTTTTTTTTAGCACTTGGAGTCATTGCTAGTCATTCTTATTTGGTGTAGTTTTCATACAGTATAATTCTGACCTTTGTGTGAGTCTGTGGGACTAAAGACCTCCATAATGAAACTGGCTGTAATCCAGTTCAAATTCACCATTATTCGTTCGTTAATATATGTCTTTATTCAGGGGAAGGGGGGGCACTGTTATTCTTGGCTATGTTTCCTCAGACATTTAAACCAGTAGGAAAACTTTGACTTCCATAATGCTATTATTCAGTATAAGCGTGTAATTGCATGCTGTCATCAGCTTATGTGACTGAGTTAAAAATAAACATTGTCACTTTCCTTGTAGGAGGTAAGAAAATGCAGCATTAATTTCTAAAGAAAAATAAATGACCAGAAATAGAACAGTGCCTCCTGCTTAGTAAGACATCTTTCATGTGATTCGAGTTAGCTAATGAAGAGATTAAAAATAAAGCATCAAATTAAATATGTGAAATCTGAAACACAAACAAGAGACCTTTGTATGTCACTGTGGTCTGGATGAAAATTGAGCTCATAAAGAGTAACATCTATTTCTATGACTCGAAATTTGCGAAATTTGCGTTTGGCATGGTGGTGCACTGATTAGCATCACTACCTCAGAGCCTTTGGGCCCTGGGTTAAATTCCTGGAGTGCTACAGTATATGCGTGGAGTTTGTATGTTGTCCCCATATTGACGTGGGTTTCCTTAAGGTGCTTTTGCCTGCATTGTGATGGGCTGGCATCCTCTCAAGGGTGTACCCCAGTTGCTTATCAAGACCTACAACCCAGTATTGAATAAAATTGCTAGAACACCAATTGATGTTTGGATTAAGTATTTGTATTGTAATACAGATCGTTACTTCTACCTTGCTACCCAGCCATGTTGTTGAAGCCATCACCCTGTTTTCTTTCAAAAACACCTAGATGAAATCCTAAGATCAAGTCACTACTATCAAAAGGACTAGATGGTCTGAAAGTTCTCTTGTTTGTAACCTTTCTTATGTTCTTATGTTCTAACACGATCTTGTCAGATCTCATTAACTTAGGTCATGGGCTGGGCCTGGTCAGTACTGGGATGAGACACCTTTAAGGAATTGCTGTAGTGAGAGGTCTTGGTGGATCAGAAATTGAAGCTCCAACATTTCTTAATCCCCGTTATAGTGTCCATGGCTGTAGAAGATGCCAATCTTCAAATGAGATGTTTTACCCAAGTCCTGACAACTTGGTCATTCAAGATTCCAGGGCACTGTTCATAAGAGCAGGGATATCTCTGCTAAATTCTATGTTGGGCTTGTAAAAAAATGGTCACCTCTCCACCTGATCTGCTGTGCAATGGGCTGTTGCTACAGAATGCCTACTGTGTGTCACTGCATTTCACTGGGAGATGAAGTGGGCCCTGTTCTTGATATAAGAGAACTTTGGGATATTTTGAATGAAATATAATAATTATTATAATACCACATACTGTAGATGATAAATGCCCTTAATTGTCTCTAATTACTGTAATTAAGAGGACTTTCATCTCTATTATTCTATTTTAAGCTATTGGACTCAGAACAAGTGGTTCTTTATCAATTGACTGACAATTCTGTCATTATCAAGGGGAATCTTTTAGTTATGGTCTCATTTGTAGCTTCAGTCAAGTCCATTGTTCCACAGTGCGATGGGAATCATACGTATGATTCTGTTATTAACTGGAATAACTTGCATACACAGCAACAGACAAATAAGAGAATAATGAATTATTTCCTAAGAATAATAAAAACAAAAGCAAGAAAGGACTCTATAAAACCCATCATCCTTGTGTCTCCCAGTTTCTGGACTCTTCTTTGGTTGAAGCGGCAGACTCAAGGTCTCTCTCCAGTGATGAGAAGTCTTCCAATGACCTAGCAGCCAAACTCCTGCTTCTGGATGAGCTGGTCAACCTAGAGAACGATGTCATCGAAACCAAGAAGAAGAGGAGCTTCCCCGGGTTTGGATCTCCTCTCGACAGACTGTCTGTGAACAACATGGAACTGAAAGGCAAGCAAAGGTAAGCACCACACCACGCTGGACTGTGTGTTCCTACTGTAGAGAGTTTAATTAACCTCTCTAGCCCCTTCTCTGTCTTGTCTCTTTCTAACTCAGATCTATATTTCTATTTTTTACTTAGAGATTGTAGTTAGTCAGTGCAAAACCTTTACATCAAAATCTAATTTATGGATGTGAAATACAGCTTCCATAACCTGCACTATGAGCAACAGGTATTAAAAGAAGATAAAATATCAAACAATAAAGTAAATAAAACTGAGAAGCAAAGGTTTCAGTCTAACATGATATTTCCTATTGCAGGATATATACAAACATGTGTTGACAGATGAAAACCATTGTAAATTTTGCAACCAATTCTTGTGTACTTATTAATTTTGCTTTGATCTGATTAATGTGTGTAAAAATGTTACAGAGCTGATTCTGTTCAATCACTTGAAAAAAAGCAAAAAAAAATGTTATTAAAAAGAGGAAATTATTAAACTATTGTAATGATAGTACCTATTGTATAAGTACAATTCTCCCTCTGCCGTTGAACTCCTCCATCAAACCTCCTTACTAGAGATCTGGCATCTGGCACAAGATTAGAAACTTACTTCAGTTAAATGGGAGCTGTCTTCCAGGAGAACTAAACCCTTACAGCTTACACCTCAAGGCAATCATTCTCCATAACATTAGGGGCAATAATGCAAAAATGACAGAATAGCCACAGCAGAACTGTAATAAAACTGTAATAAAAACAGCTGGACTGTATCTGAAGTTTTTTGCTCCTAAACAAATTATATTTCCATATCAATAGTGGGATTGCATTCTAATTAATGATGCTTAAAAATATGATGAAAAACTAAATTCAAGTTTAATTAAATTAAAGTAATACAATATCATTTCATATTTAAATTCATTACACTATAAGAGCATGCCACTTGAATGCTATTTTAAGTGTTAAGCCATACAATATATAATTACAGAGATCCCTTAAATGAAAACAGTTAATTAGATTAAATCATTGGAAACACATTGCCATTGACAGTGAAATGTATTTCTAAGCTGCATAAATAGAAATATTATTTTTAAAACATAATTTTGGTAACTTTGTTGGAGTATTATCCACCATCTCCACTCATTTGTAGCCAAAAGAAGCAAAGGCAGTCATTTTTGTATGTGAAGTAACCTCTGAGAAGTAACATGATATTTCAGTTTTTAGCTTAAAAATACAGAAGCGTGTCTAATCCTCTTAATATTAGGATAGACATATTTGGGCTTCCCAGGTTTAAGTGAAATCTTATCTTTGTTATTATAACCAAGCAGAACATTTTACAGAAGCTAACATAAATGTCAAGAACATCCAATTTGTTTGAAAATACATAGACAAAATCATATAACTTCATCCTCCTAATAGAAATTATCAAGAACAAGAATGAGCCTGTTTATTATTCTATTTCTATATTCTATAGATCCAATTATTCTAAAGATTAGTAAAAAAACAATATATGTTATCTATCTATCTGTAAGATGGGAACACATCACCCACTACATCCATCCATTTTCTAACCTCTTCATCCAGTTCTCATCTGCAAGGGAGTCAGAGCCTATCCCAGCAGGAAACAGCCTAGGGGCAGAATACACCCAGGATGAGACTCTAGTCCATCACAGGGCAGACAGCCACAAACAAAGACACATACATACTCACACCAGGGCCAATTTACCTACCAGTATGTCTTTGGACTGTGGGAGGATACCAGAGCACCTAGAGGAAACTCACATGAGTACAGGGAAACATACAAACTCCACACAGAAATCATCGCAGCTCCAGAGCTGAACCCAAGGCCCCAGCACTGCAAAGTAGCACTGCTAACCACTGTGCCACCTTGCTGCCTTCACCCACTCCCCTGAACTGTAAATCAGAACATACTTTGAAAGACGCCATTATTACTCTTTCTGCTACAATTATGGAAGGGCTAAATATACAGTAACTCATTCTTTCTCAATAGATTTACTCATTATTTTGCTGTTGTGTCCTTCATAAATAGGGTCGTTTCCTGTACATAAAGTGCTTGGGGATCCTTTGGAATGAAAAGTGATGTGTAAGTGCAATTATAGGTTTCTTCCATGCTGAAAAGAGAAGAAAGGAAACACAAATGTGGGTGTTCTTTTGATTACAGGAAAGTGGTTGACCTTCCCAGGAGAAGACTTAATGTGCCAATAGACCGGATTGCGATGAATCGCATTCCCAACAGCAGGGGCTAACCTGGTATGATCTGACATACAGAACAGTGTTTGACACATACTATGGTCCTCCATTTTTCAGGGAATTCTGGTTTTCATTGAAACCAAAAGAAAATTTTAAACGAATTTGAACTAAGAATCTACTTAATTAGACATATTTGGAGCTCTGAAATGGTTGGAGATTTCAAACTACAAAAAAAACCTGAAAGGAACTAGAAATGTGCCGATTTATTCTTCTTGTTCCATTGCTTGACCTGAGGAAGGAGTCTTATTCCTACTCCTCAGGATTAGCCAGTGCACCTATCCAGCACATTGTTGAGAAATGTGGGGAAACTCAAGTATCTGGAGGAAGCCCTAACATGCGGGCTCCACACAGACTAGCACCAAAGGCTAAGGAAAATGTCCCCATGTCACCCCCAGGAGATAGAAGCAAAAAGGATTAGCACAGCGATTAAAGCTGTCCAATAAATCTTAACTGAAATGAAAATCAGAAGACACAAGGTCCCGTGAAGGCTAAAGATGGGTAACTCAATTTTCCCTTAGCTGGACACCATTCAACCATCTTGTTACAATTAAGTAATACACAGTTTTCTTGCTGACGTCTTTGTACTGCACACAGAATAAGCACTTAATCACTATAAGGGAATTTTTAGTTGCAGACAAGGTACAGTAGGGTGTATTACTCCAGAGCAGCCAGATACTGAAGTGTGTGAATGGCTAGCAATGAGAAAACAATGTCACTGTATCTCATTGATTCTTCCTTTTTATATTTGCTTACAGGATGATAATACTCAAACATGGTTTGAAGATGCATGGACAACGTTTTTCACCCTGAATCCACTGTAGTTTTCAATGTGACATAGCATTTGCCACTGTCTTATATTATAGTTTACCAGGTGGAGTCTGGACCCGCAGTATATGGTGTATAGACAGCAAAGAATTTAGTAAAAGTAGGGAAACTATTGAGCTAGGTCTGCACATATGTACATATCATTATCACACTGTATTATGTATTTAAGCTAACACTATTTGCATGTACTTGTACGAAATCCCCCTTTTAAAGTATAATATCTGGTTCTGACAAAATTTAAAGACTAGAGGGAGATTCATGTATTTTATTCTAAAATATTATATTTTCAACCCATTTAAGTGATACAGTTGCTGGTAATGACTGGCAAAAGAATCGACCATTTTATTATTGGCTCTGTAACTTAATGTTGCACCAAGCCACTAGAAATGCATCGTGAAACTGGGCAAGGCACAAGTCCACAGATGTAAGCTAGAAAACACAAAAAATTTCTTGATTTCATTTAGTTTTTCTAAGAAGAAAACTATCTGGGTGTTTAATATTAACTGATAAGCCTTCCTCAATTGTATCAACAGTTGCTATAATGGGGACGGCATGCTTCATTTTAAACATTTAAATCTAACAAGGTGAAAAGAATGTTAAATATACAAGTACACTTTCTTCTAAATTAAAAAAACTTTTAAGATTCTAAAATTTATATTTGGAGCCCCAGATTCAAGGGTTTCAATAAGACATTCTGTAATGTATACATTGACGTTGTACTTCATTTCAAAGCACATATTCTACAGATCACTGTGGCCTGGTGTATTTTAAAATATGTCCTGTATATTAATCATTTGTAAATGGGGAAAAAAAAAACATGGAAAGCAAGCTCTCTATGAACAAAAAGCTGTGCTCAAAAAGTCCAAAAGACATACCCTAACAGTAGAAAAAGTAAACACTTTTTTCTAAATAAGTAACTTAAAAAAAACGAATTCTCCATAAATAGACAGTATTCTTTTAAACAGAAATAAAAGGCTGAATGAATGGTAGCAGTAGTCCATACTCAAACCTAGAGGTTGGATGGGAATGAGACAGTGAGCCTTCCCCAGACTCAAGCGATCAGGCTGAAGTTCCTTGCTCAAACAGGAGAATGGTAGAGTTCTTGTAAATCACTGCTGCCCTTGCTCTCAAAAACCCTATACTGAACTCCTACAATGCTACTGTATGTATGATCCTTAAATGGCTCATTTTATTGTTACTGGCCACCCAGTTTGTACTGAGAACTGAAATGCTGTTTATATAAAGGGTTATTTTGCAGTAAGTTTATAACACCGAGCAGCATTAGTTTTAATTTCTTTTTGTAGTACACTGTTGCAGGTGATCTGTAGTTGTTAAATGTTTTCCCATTGCCTTTTTAAAGATGAACTGTAAAACAAAGTCTTTCAACTCGTACCACATTGACCATGGCTTTTCTGCAAAGTGAAGGCATTTGTTTTTCTTTGCTAACTGTATTAGATGTACAGAGGGTGATTTAATTTGGGGGATGGAATGAGCAGTGAAATTATCCATTAATATAAATAAAGTGTGTAACTGTTGGCAAGTTTTTTTGTTTTCTTTTCATATGAACAGTTCTAATTCTCTGTACAGCAACACCCTGAGGTGTAAAAATTGTGTGCTTGTCATTTTCCTACTGGAAAACAATATAGGGGAGAAAAGCTTTAAAGATTTGGTTAAGATGATAATCATATTGTATGGACATTTCTTATGAAGACAATTTTAAGATTATTAAAAATATGTATTTGTGGGTGACATGGTGGCACAGTGGTTAGCATTTCTCCCTCGCAATACTGGGGCCCTGGGTTTAATTCCCGACCTGGGGTGCTATCTGCTTGGAGTTTGTATACTCTCATCATGTTCGTATGAGTTTCCCCCCTCAGACTAAAGACATCCCGGTAGGATCATTGACTTCTGTAAAACTTGCCCTGGTGTGAGTGTCTGTATGTATGTGCCCTGCGGTGGACTGTCATCCTGTCCAGGGTGTATCCTGCCTTGCGCCTAATGCTTCCTGGGATAGGCTCCAGGCCACCGTGACCATGAACTAAATAAGCAGTTGAAAGTGATGTGATGACGTTATGTATTTGTGTTATGAATCCAGAAAGAAGATCCTGGATAGTGCTTTGTACTTATTAGAGAACATTAAATCCATAGTTGAACCTAGTGTCTCTTCAGAGTAGAGCTAATTTTGGTTTCTATAGCAGAAAACAGACTGAGTGTTCATGACAACTCCCTGAATGGGGAACAGGAGGCTTGTTACCTTCAGGAACAATGGTTACCATTTATACTATATTGCTGAGTGGATTGGACCAATCTGGGTAAGGTAATGCAGTGTAAGCAGTGAACACAGAACACTGCAGCTAAAAGCACAGGGACCGAACTACCAAACAAACTGAAGAGTAATTAGAAAGTAGCTGCATAGCTGCAAAAATATCTCCCTCCAAATCAAGAGGGAGTATATACAAAGTTACCATCCTGAGTTAACCGTAGAAATTGTCCTCAAACATTATTTCAACAACACAAGAAGACAATAAAAGTCCCTAATATGAAAGGGTTGACTGGGAGAGCTTATACAGTACATGGCTCAACAAAGTAAACTGAGGCTAACCAGTTTGGATAAGAAATTATGAATTGCTCTGTAAAGTACATTGTAACTTAGTCAGATGGGAGGCACCAAACTTTCACAGGAAAAAAAGGATGCAGAAACTATTGGGTTATTTAGTGAAAAAGCACAATCTCTGAATGAAGGAAATTAGTGTTATACGATGCACTAGTGAGACATCTTTTAGAATTGCAAACTGAGAACGCATGGTGCATTCAGCAAAGATGATGGGTCCTCTCAGTGCTGTGCTCAGCTGAGTTAGTGTGAGTTATTATTTGAGCAGCACAAGTTATAGCCTGCAGTAAATAATAATAATAATTAATGATAATAATTGCTTACACTTATATAGCGCTTTTCTGGACACTCCACTCAAAGCGCTTTACAGGTAATGGGGACTCCCTTCCACCACCACCAATGTGCAGCATCCACCTGGATGATGTGATGGCAGCCATAGTGCGCCAGAACAGTCACCACACATCAGCGATCAGTGGGGAGGAGAGCAGAGTAATGAAGCCAATTTATAGAGGGGGATTGTTAGGAGGCCATGATTGATAAAGGCTGAAATAAGAAGTAAAAAAAAACTGAATCAAAGAGCTTTCTTCTGCAATCTTTTTTTTGTTAAACTCCACACGGCATACCTTATATGTGTTTTAAAAAATAAATAAATACAGTGATTTAAAACATAATTAATCTGTGGAAACGAAGCCCTAGCCATTGTTTGATAGCACAAACACATGATTCCCATGGTTACCACTGTCTTGATATTGGAAATTGTGTGCGGTGTTTCGATTTTCAGTGCCGCTTGTTGTGAAAACAGACTGTGTGATGCCAAGGAAATACACAGATTACTGAGGTATTTCCAAGTGCCCTGGTAAATAAAAGGGGATGCCAATTTCTTTCAGCTTGTCTTGAATGTTTTAATGGTTCTGAAACACACAGCCGAAAAATAACAAAACATCCTGTTTTGATCTGTACATGTTAATATGTTCAGAGTCACGATAGTGTAAGACAGATCTCCTGACTTCGCCTTGGGGAATTAATCAAAGCAATGCTATACATTTTTTACAAAAATTACATATTTATTTATATTCGAATGCTTGAGAAAAGAACAACTCTAGAATTTTATCTGTAGGTCCCAAACTGTGATGCTATATTACACTTTTCTAATTACACTTCATTTTTTTATCATCAGTTTCAATCTTTTATTGAGCAAGAGTACCACAATAGTGCATGCCCATGATTAGAAAAAGAAGCAAAAGTTTGGGCTGGAGGGATGAGTCTCTCAACATATGTGATCTTTCCTATACATAAGTTGCTACTTTACGTGTGGAGATGTAATTAAAGGCAGACAACTCACAGCAGATGGAAGCAATTAATTTCTAATTGAGAACTTTGTGAAGCAAAGGTATGCAGTACAAGCAGGGGTTTACACACCCAAACACATTTTTCTGGGCTCCCAGGGTACGTAAGCCTATGTGATGAACCTCAGCAGTAACCTTTTAAATTTATTTTTTTTATAAACTGTTGCAATGTACTGTACGCATTTAATTTCATCACAGCGGAAAGTTACAGTGGGCCTCAGTGGAATATGTCCCTGCAACAGAGATAAAATCTACAACCTTACAAGGGTGTCCTAAGGTAGTCCCTTCTTTCGTGCAAGCTACCAAAGACATTTCTAGTTCAATTTGTCCCTCTTTTTTTCATTACACCTCATACTGAATTATTTTAGTAACTGGCACCAGAATGCACAATAACACTACTCTTGTCAACAACCTGTATAAAGCCAAAGTATTTATGACTTAAGGCGCAACTTAAAATAGCATGAAGAAGCAGTCATCCGCTCCTTTTGACACCAGAGCCTTCCCTATCTTATTTCTGCACAATTGGTGTTTATTTGCCTAGGTAAATTTCCATATGCAATAAGTTAGTGCACTGACTTGGTTTTTTTTCTGACAAAGGTTTCTTGTTTAGAGACATAAGGAAAAATGTCTCTCAGCTGACTGCTTTAAATTCTTTGCAACATGACGGATTTGTTCTTAAAACAGACAAAGCCAGGGAAATCTTTATTTTGTCAGGAGATACATATGGATTGCTAGACTATTTAATCTTTTTTATAGGAAATGCTCGGTTTTAGCTTCCCTCTATTGACACATTTTATTAAGAAATCTGCCACAGTTGCTAGAGAATAATGTTGCTAGAGAATTGACAAGCTTATTTACATACAGTACCACATATTAAAAATGTGTTTAGAAATAAGTTTAGCCAATCATGAAAATACCGTTTTCACTTTTTAAAAAGTTCTTACCTTAAGTGTCCATAAACTCAAGAGTTTGAAATGCAATATAAAGTTTAGATGAAAGTATATTTGATACAAATATACTTTTATCAGAAATTATAATGGTATATTATGAAAGATATAAGATATCTGAAATTCATGTTTGGAAAACAATGTATGTTTTTTTGTAATTCTATGCTCCATGTATGGAATTTTGTAGTACAATGGCTGTCCTACCAGGGAATGTACACTTTTCAGAGTTACTGTATTTCGCATTTTACAGCGTGAGAGCCTAAAGTATCTACAGCTGGCAAAACTTAGAGGAGTGGTGCAGCTCTTGGTGACAGACCATGCTTCCAGCAAGACACTGGAACTGCTATTGTTATGACTCAAGTCCCCCAGTCCTGGCAGCACTTACTCAATTGCACATAGCTTCATGGGAAATGCTTGTCACAGTAAATGAAAGTGCAAATTCAAACCAGCCACGTTTGAACTATAAGGATCATGCTGTCCTCGAAAGGAGTGACTTTGACCTCTAGTACACAGAATCCAACAATATATTCCAGTCCATCTCACAACACCCATGACCTTAGAACTCAATCGAACCTAAGGAGGCGATAAAAGCCAACACACAAATGAAGAGCAACAAAACAGAAGGAAAACATAGCTTTGACTCTCATTATACAGATCTAGAGTGACGGACTAGGACTATGACATTCTTCAAAACTCAGGACAAATCCAGAGGTGGAAATTAGAGCTGAATCTCTCTGGTGTTCATCATGGACAAAGTAATTACAAACATTGTCCTGAATTGTCTCATGCCTCTTGCTGAAGACCATCTCCCAGAATTCCAAGGTTAAGACCTTCAAGAGGCATGGCTGACATGATTATTACAGTTCATCATATTACAGGAAACATATCTGGTGCCAACGTCTCCACAAAGCTTTCTTTGACTTTGACAGATGTGTTCATCTCTAGAAGTACGCATGTTCTCCAAAATACGTCAATATCCGTTTCCTGCTTCAAGATGATATGCATGCAGTAATTCTCTCTAATGAAGCTATTACACATTCCTGTGAAGTCTGGACAGGGGTAAAACAAGAGTGTGTCATCGACAAAACTCTATTTTCAGTATTTCTGAGTGTCATGGTCCAATTTGATAATAAACAAGTTCCCAGCTGGAGTGCAGCTGACTTATAAAATGGACAGCAAATTATCACTTTGATGCAAAGCTAAAACCACTGCAACTTCAGTCCTCAAAATGCAGCAGAATTTCTTGACAGAAATAGAACCAGTAGCAATACATTGCTGATATTTTCGATGAGTAGGGTGTCAGATGGACTAGCTGTGAGAGATGAGTATGGTCTAGTGGGGATAGGGAAGTTTGAAACAGATTTGAGGTAACGAAGGAATGGACAGTTTGGGGTGAGAATCCATGGAGAAGAGTGATCAAAGATGTTGAAAAAGCAAACAGAGGAAGAGATACTGGAATAGAAAATTCGAAAAGGCAGAGAACTGGCTCTGGAAGTGCTGAATTTCTAAAAGGGAGACAGCAAACTGGATTGCCTAATAGGAAAAACAAGCAGCATTTATTAAAAATAATGAGATACAGTACAGGTAGAAAGCCAAGTGAGACATCTGGGAAGGTTCATGATATACTGTACTGAGA